TCACTTGGAAGTCACTGTATAAACCAGGCTGGGCTCTAACTGACAAAGATCCTCCTGCCTCTGCATCCCAACATGCCTGGTCTCTTTTGTCTCTCTTATTCCCTGAAACTTTCCCTCCTCATTCTCCATCTTGTTTCCTACATATCTTCCTGGTATCCCTGTGTGTGTGTGTGTGTGTGTGTGTGTGTGTGTGTGTGAATGAGTGAATGTAGGTACATGAATGCCACAGTACACATGTGGAGGTCAAAGGACAGCTTCTGGGGGTCAGTTCTCTCCTTCCGCTGTGGGTTTCAGGAATGGAACTCTGGCTGTTAGGCTTGTACAAGTGCTTTTGCCTGCTGAGTCATCTCACTGGCCCAGGATCATTCTTTTCTTTTTAAATATTTTATTTATTATTTGTGTATTATTTTTATTTTATGTGTATGCATGTATCGTCTGCATGTAGGTAAGTGCACCCGGGTCCTGCAATACCCACTGAGGACAGAAAAGGCTGTCAGAGCCCCTGGAACTGGAGTTATGGACAGTCGTTAGCTGCCAGGTGGGTGCTGGGATTTGAACCAGGGTCTTCTGCAAGAACAGTCAGCGTTCTTAAATGCTGAGCCATCTCTCCAGCCCCCCAGTATCATTCTTGAACTGGGCCTGCCCCTGACCAACAATCTTCCTCCACATATCACCTTCATTCACTCTTTTAATTCTTCAGGTCTCCTCTTAGATGTCATCTTAATAATGAGGTCTTCCTCATTAAATCTGTGACTTGCACTCCCAATACTCTTCCCTGATTTTTTTGTTTTGGGGTTTGTTTGTATTTTTTTGCCGGGGGGGGGTGTCTTTTTGAGACAGGATCTCCCTGTAGCCCATTGACCTGGAATTCGCTATTCAGAAAGATGTTATTTTTCCTTTTTTTTTTCCTGTTCCATCTTTCAGATACTGTCCAGAGCCTAAGTATGCTTTGCTTTCCTTGGTACTGTGAGCTTTTTCCACTTTCTCTAAAGCTTCTCTCCCTACCATGGGGCTTCTTATACAGCACACAATTATTCTGCTTCATCAAAAATATATTTATAGGCTGGAGAGATGGCTCGCGGTTAAAAGCACTGGTGTAATGGCGCACACCTTTAATCCCAGCACTCGGGAGGCAGAGGCAGAGGCAGGCAGATCTCTGTGAGTTCGAGGCCAGCCTGGTCTACACAGTAAGTTCCAGGACAGCTGGGGCTACAGGGAGACCTTGTCTCAAAAAGACCAAAAATAAAACCAAAAAAGCACTGGCCAGGTTCAGTTCTTAGGACCCACGTGGCAGCTAACAACCTTTCCTAACTCCAGTTACAGGGAATTCAACGTCCTCTTCTGGTCTCCGTGGGTATCACATGAAGGCAAAACACTCATACACATGAAGTAAAAATAAATAAAAATGTAAAAAACATTATTTGTAGGGGCTGGGAGTGGTGGCATGTCTTTAATTCCACCACTCTGGAGGCAGAGGCAGATGGATCTCTGTGAGTTTGAGGCTAGCCTGGTCTACATAGCAAGTTCCAGACTAGCCTGGGCTACATAGTAAGACCCTGTCTCAAACAAAACAAAACGTATTTATAGGTTTGGGGAAATCCTTCAGTGGGCAAAGCAGAATGATCCCATGCCTGTGATCCCAGCACTTAGGAGATGAAGGCAGGAAGATTAGAAGTTCTAGGTCATCATCAGCTACATACCGAGTTCAAGGCCAGCCTAGAGTACCTGAGATCTTGTCTTATAAACAAAGGGAGGGTGTGTGTGTGTGTGTGTGTGTGTGTGTGTGTCTGTGTGTGTCTGTGTACATGTGCGCAGAGGCTGGACAGATGGTGGAGCAGTTAAGAGTCTTTGCTGCCCTTGTAGTGGTCCTGGGCCTGGGTTTGATTCCCAACATCCACATGTAACTTCAGTTCCAGGGGATGTGATACCCTCTCTGTCCTCTATGGGCACTAGGTACACACATGGTACACATACATACATGCAGGTACACCATTCATACAACAAATAAATTTGAAAAAAAAAAAAAGCTGGGTGTAGTGGTACACACCTGTAATCCCACACCCAGGAGGGAGAGGCAAGAGGACTGTAGCAAGTTCAAGGTAAGCCTATCCTACATACTGAATTCTAGGCCAGGCCATGCTACATAAGGAAATCCCGCCTCAAAAACAAACAATACAAAATTTATTTATGGGGGATGGAGAGATGGCTCAGCAGTTAAGAGTGCTTGCTGCTCTTGCTGAGGACCAGAGTTCAATTCCCAACAGAGCTCAGTTTCCAGTACCAACATTAGGCAGCTCACAGCAGCCTGTAACTCCAATTCCAAGGAATCTGATGCCTTTGGCCTCTGTGGACACCTGTACACACATGCACACGCGCGTGTACACACACACAGAAATATAAATATTTTTAAAAAGCTTGTTTCTAATCCACCTCCACCATGACAAGCAGATCTGTGAGGACATACTCAAGATACCCTTGGTCTTCCCTTGCACCTCCAGGCTGTCTATTCTATTCCATGCATTCATGCAACACCAAAACCTAATAGTGATTATTGATAATTACCATAGGCCAGCACTTTTATGCACTTTTCCTTAACTCATTATTAACTGTCCTAATTCTCAAGTGGGTGCCATTATTAGCATTCTCACTTTCACATAAGGCAACTAGTCATTTAACCTGGGAAAAGATGTGGTGGCAAACACCTGCAATCCCAGCACTTAAGAGGGGGCAGGAAGATCAATTCAAGGCTAGCCTCAGCTATATAATGAATTAAAAGCCTGCAAAAGGTTCTGTCTCAAAAAAAAAGAAAGAGGAAGGAGTAAGAGTAAAGGAATAGACAGACATGAAGTTTCACAATGCTGCACAGGCTGAACTCTAACTCATGGACTCAAGTGACTTCCTGCCTCAGCTTCTCAGCATTTATTTAATAAATAATGATCTTAGTTATTAACACATTTGAAAATGACACAAAAAATACAAACAGCTCTTCATCCATCTTATTCACCCCTTTATAATTTCAACACCAAACCCTGTGACTGATACATTGGAGTCATTTGGGTGTTACTCTTTTTTTTTTCTTTTTTGGAGACAGAGTCTCATACGGTCTGAGCTCGCCTCCAACTTGTTATACAGCTGAGGATGACCTTCACTTCTCAATCTCCTGCCTCCACTTTCTGGGTTGCTGGGATTACAAGAATGAGCCAGTATACCTAGTTTATGCAGTACAGGAGATTGAACCTGAGCATAATGCTAGGCAAGCATTCTACCAACTGAGCTACGTCCCTAGCTCCTATTGGCAGTCATTCAATAAATACCTATAAATACACGTTATACAGAAATCCACTCCTTATCTATAGAAAACAAGTATTCCTGACTAAAGACAGACAGGGATGGAGAGATGGTTTAGTGGTTAAGAGCATATACTAATTGTCCAGAGGACTTGAGTTCAGTTCCCACCACCCATATCAGGCAGCTCACAATGCCTGTAACTCTAGCTCCAGGGGGATCTGATGCTCTGGCCTCCTCCAAGAATTGCTCTCACATACACATACCCACACACAAACACACACATACACATAATCAAAAATAAAAGCAAAATCTTCAAAATCTAAAGAAGGGGCATATATCTCTTTAAATGACTTCAGAATTCAAGGCAGAAAATGTTGTATGTAGAAATACATGGTGAAGGAAGGTCCTGTTTGTGAAAAGGTAACTTGTAGACTATACTTTTCTCCATCTATATGAAGGATTTAAATGGCAGTGTCTGGCAAAGGAGCAGAGTCAGCCTCTACCTTACCATTTCTGCATATTCCACCTGCTCCCCTTCACTGTACAATTCTGGGGGCAGGTTGTAAATCCGTAGGATGTTATCAGCACTATTGGTCAAGATACAGGAACCATCAGGGGCCCTAAAAATAAAAGGAAAAGTTAGAAAACTGGACAGACTTATTGCTTCCAGGTGTAGGAGTCTTTGAAGGAAGACACAAGTAAGTCTTAGATAAAACTTAAGCTCAAGCACAGCATGACAGCACACGCCTAGAATCCTAGCTACTCCAGAGGTTGAGGTAGGAAGGCGGATTCTCAACCTTCAGACCAGCCTGGGCAATTTAGCAAGACCCTATCTCAAAATGAAATAAAAGGGGCAGCTTAGTGGTGGGTTACAGGCTAGCATGCTGGACACCCTGATTTCAGTTTCTGGTACTAGAAAAGAAAGAAAGATGGAAAATGTGAAAGAAAGGAAAGGGGGTTAGGAAAGGGAGAAAGGAAGGAAACCTTAAACTCAGTACTCACAGGGATTCCTATTACTCCTTTACCCAACTCCAGATAAGTTCTCGGTTTGTTTTTAAGAGAGGGTTGGGCCAGCCAGGCGTGGTGGCGTAGGCCTTTAGTCTCACCACTTGGGAGGCAGAGGCAGGTGGATCTCTGTGAGTTCGAGGCCAGCCTAGTCTACATAGTGAGTTCCAAGCCAGAGCCAGCTGGGGCTGCAGGGAGACCCTGTCTCAAAAAGACCAAAAAAAAAAAAAAGAGGGTCTCCCCCCACCCTCAAAAAAAGACAGGGTCTTACTATGTAGCCACCCTGGCCTCAAACTCCCAATCCTCATCCTCAAATTTCCCAAAGTGTTGGGATTACAGGCATGCACCACCATTCGGGGCCACATGAGGGTGGGGTTTTAAAATGAAAATCCTGAGGCTGGTCCTCTCCCTGCCCCGTTATACTTACCATTTACAACCTTTCAAGAAGTTCTCAGGTTGGGTGCTGAACTCGGACCAGGACCCACTGAGGTATCGAGGTGGCTGGGAAAAGCTGTAGCTCCAAACGCTGACAAGATAAATAACGAAGGTGGTCAGAGCAAAAGGGGCCGGGGAAGAGAAGCTGACTGGAGGACAATGTCGCTTTCACATTTGCACCCTGCTCTGATTCCAGAGTCACTTACGTGTCTCTCTCATCGTGTGCAGCGGGTTCCTCACACACATCTTCCATGGCTTCTGCAGACTCCAAGTCCAGCAGGTTCGTTTCTTCTGCAGGAGGGATCGCATTTTCAGAAAGTTCTTGCTCCTCGATTCGAGGGCTCAACTCACCAGGAGCGTTCAATTCGACTTCCCGGGAAGTCGAGAGAAAAGCTGGGTCCCCTTGCCCCAGCACCTGAGACACAACTGAGCCAGCCACCTCATCTCTGGACACCTGGGGCTGTTCATCTCCACCGCCTGGTAGTGGCAACAGCTCAGAGTCTGTATTTTGATTGGCAGGGGAAGCTTTGGGCGCGGGAGCTGGGGCCTGGTCCCCAGGGATGCTGTCCGGAGCTAAGGGTCGTTCCTCCGACGTCTTCATTCTACTGAGGGAGTACGGCGGACAGCGGCCTCGGCCCGGCCAGTCTCTTTCCGCTGACAACCAACTGCCGGGGCTGAGCGGCTTCAAAATTCCCAGGGATCCGGACGCAAACCTGGAAAGATACACCTGTCTTTCCGTTCTCTTCCGGAAAAAGTCAGAAGACCCCCACGCGGAGGGGCAAAGGCTAGGAAACCAACCAGAGCAGAGCTCCGCCACGCTCCCGGCCGATAGGCGCCTCCAGTGCCCCTGGCTCTCGCGGGATTTGGACCACCTTCCGATTGGCTCTCCGCATCCAGCGGATTTCGCGGGGCGGGAATGACGGGTTCGCCCAACCCTCCAGCCCTAGCGTTCCTACAGGTTTCTGGAAGTTGTAGTCTCAGCGCTCGGCCTTGCGGAAAAGTACCCGAGCTCCCCCTACCGTCCGCCCTCGATAATTCCTAAAGCACCTACTCTCCCTGGCCTGCAGAGGGCGCCTGGTTTTTACAGGGTTTGGAATTCTTTCGACTCACTGTGTAGACCAGGCTGGCCTCGAACTCTGACTAGAGATTCCCCCCCACACCCCGCCTCAGCCTCCCGAGTGGTGGGAATAAAGGTATGTGCCACCCAACCATGTCTGGCCGTTTTTTGATTTTTTTTTTTCTTGTTTTTTTAAGACAGCGTCACCCTTAGCCCCAGCTGATCTGGAACTCACTATGGCAACCAGGCTGGCCTTGAACTCACAGAGATCCACCTGCTTCTGCCTCCAAAGTGCTGGGATTAAAGGCATGTGCCACCATGCCCAGCCGTTTTTTGAATCTTATTGGTCAAATTCCTCAGACTTTTGTTCTTTCATTCAACAAACATTTTATTATCAGTTCTTATTTCCTACCCAGCACTATCCAAGGCATTGGAGAAAATAACAATGAATAAAATAGTTTACAAGCTCTCTGCCTTCATAAGATTTTCGTTACTGTGTATTAAAGACAATGAAAAAAAATCTTTACAGGTAGTGATAAGGGCTGTACAGGAAATTAAACAAGATGGTGTGATATAAAGTATCTAAGGGAACACCTTAGATTGAGATATTAAGACTCTAAAAAGTGACAAAAACAACTAACAGTGGTTCGTGGTGCTCATTCCTGTAAACTTTGTTCCTGGGAAAAGCTAAAAAGCAGGAGGATTGCTGAGAGTTCGAGGCCAGCCCTGGCTACAAAGTAAGACCCTGTTTCAATACGATGGCTACAACCAGGGAGCTAGATCTGAAAGAGCGGTATTGCACGCAGTGATCCAGACAATGACACAGTGGCATGAGTCCCCCAAAATGATTTCCCCCAAATCCGCCTTCAGAGCTTCAGCTTGAGTACTTTGCCACCACAAAACGTTAATTACGGTCAACACCTACACACCAGGAATCTAAGACTCTCTCGGTACCCTCCCCCCTCACTCTCCATTTTCTGCCCTGAGCCTAGGAAAAACTTGCCCTTACTTGTCATGGCGCCCCTATCCAGCTTTGTGCCAGCAGTCTCGCGGCGGATGCTGGGATTGGGACTTTCCCCTCCCATGTGCTCAGACTGGCGCTAAAACTTTAGACTTATCAAAAGTCCATAGCCACCATCCTGGGTGCAGGTGGGTCCTAGGATCTGGGGGCACCTGGCGTCCAGGCCCCGAGCGTACTTCCCAGGAGGGTGACACGCTCCCCTGAAGACCGGGTAAGCAGTTGACTGAGCCTTGATGAGTCCCGTCTGAGTCACCGGCTCTCGGGTCCGTGGATTTGCGGCTTAGGAGAATCGTGGAGTTTAGGGGTGGGGCAGAGGGGACTCAACGAGTTGGGATGGGATGGTGGAAATGGAAGCTTAGCTGGCGGGATCAGCATAGGCGTGTAGTGTCGAAAGGCCTGGGTGTTAGACGATGGGGAGGTTAGGATCCGCCAGCCTCAAAGAGGAACGCCGGAACTGAGAGGACTGGGGCTTTGGGGAACGTCTGGGCGACCTAGGATACTGCTCCCCACCACCTGTACACACAGATACCCGGTGCTGGGTGGTGGAAGGCCCTAAAATAACATGCACCAACTACTGGGGTCCGAGATCTTCGGGATTCATGTCTCAAGGTTTTAGAGCCCTTGGCATCCTAAATTAATTGGGGTGATCTGGGAAGCTCTGGCTGCTAAAGTCGCACAACTTCCGGACCTTTGTCCCTGGAGTGATCTTTTCATTCGCACCCCGGCCCCGCTAGATGAAGAAATTCAAGGGAAGACTATCAGGCGTGCAAGTGGGAAGAGCTAAACGAAAAGTTTACCCCCGAGCCCCGACGCGGCAATCCCAGTCTGGAAGGCCCAGCAGCCCTGTTATTGTTTGGCTCCACATTTACATTTCTGCTGCTTGCAGTAGCATTTCCGGTTTCTTTTTGTCGGAGCAGCTCACTGTTCATCCGATCAGAGGGGAGTTGAAAGGGAGAAAATGTATTTTAGGCTCATGCTGTTGCTTGCGGAGGGAACCTGCTATCCTCCTTCATTTTCTTTTTCTGGACTACTTGGTGGTTGCTTTTGCAAAGGAGAAGATGTTTGTTTTGATACAAACCTCAACCCTCCCCCTCTGTGAATGGTGTTTTCCCCACTCCACCCCTGTCACCTGCTAGCTGGCGGACGCTACCATTGTATGGGACTCAGGGATGGGGAGGCGGTATGAAGAAAGCAAAACTTGGGCATTTTTGAAAATAGGTTCATCAGGGAATCAAATTTTAAGAGTGCAACGATAGGTCATTTGTTTGGGTCGGAAAACAATTACCTAGTATCCGGTTTTGGGCTCAGCCATTCCCATTCTGAACGCACACTGAACGTCCAGAAAGCGGAAGGGGCGGACCTCAGCTGGGGGCGCCCCGAGGTCCTAAGTGCAGCCCACTGGTCCAAGCCAGTTCTTCCCAGTGGGAGGTGACAGACCTCTGCCAAGACTTACGTATTTCCTACTCCCGCATCTTTAGGGAAAATCATTTTGTTACAGTTTCTTACCATGCACCAAGCACTATACGTATATGTATGTCTTCCAAGTAGAAGTATTTACAACACAGCACTTAGGGGGATAAATTTCCCCTTGCTCCTTTGACGTTTCAATGGTTTTGGTCTGCAGAATAAGTAAACAATAGATTGGTAGGAAAAAACAAATTGTATTACGTGGCTGCAGGAACCACATATACACGATATGAAACTAAGGAGGGCTAGGTAGTTGAAGTTTATAGAGGAGTAAACAAAGGACTAGGTTTGAGCTTTTGTGGGAAAGAGGTTCAGGTTGTAGAAGGTAAAGACCCGAAGGTGCCCAGCTGGTGAGAGTTCTCTTGTTATGCAGATAGCCTCGCTGATAACTAGCACTTGTAATCTCTTACCTGAATTTGGTGCTAGAATTTCTTTTAACTGTGAAAAGATCTCATTCCAAAACCATAGGGGGTTGTAAAATAGAAAGACATCTGACCTTCCCTGTTGACTAATGTAGATATATGTAAATTTTGTTTACTTTTTACGAAGGACAACTCTGAGAGCTACCCTTTGTCTGCAGAGATCTTCAGTTTCTCTGAATAATTTAATACAGTCAGCCCTTAACTAGAGGGATTTGGGTCTGAGATGCTTAGTATATGCCTATAACCTATGCTTAAATCCTCTGTAGTTTATTTATGATAATGCAAAGTAAATGTCATGCAAATAAATGTTATATTGTTGACAGTCAAAAGGAGCTATGTTAATATTCATTCAGTACAGGCATGTCCCTTTTTTACCCCTCAAAAACTATGAGAGCTGGGTTATCCCACCGCTAGAAAGTGAGACAGGAAGATCACAAATTTGAGTCCAGGCTGATACAGGGGGTTCGAGGACAGGCTGAACTGTACAGTGAGTCCCTATCTCAAAAAAAAAAAAAAAAAAAAAAATTTAGAAGAAAAGAAAAACACCTGGGAAATGGAGAAGTGGAGGCAGGAGGATCAGCTGTCAGCTTGGTCCAGCCTGGGATACATGAGACACTCTTCAAAACAAGTGCAAAAATTAACAAATTTTAGGAAGTCAAACCTAGCAGGCATTGATAGTGAAAGGATAAAAGCAGACAAGTATGATGGCACATGCCTGTAATCCCAGCACTGGGGAGGCTGAGGGAGGAAGATTACCATGAGTTCAAGACCAGCCTGGGCTACAAGACAAGACCTCGTCTCAAAAAAACAAAACAGCTGGGTATATAGTTTAGTGGTAGAGTATTTGCCTAGCATGCATGAAGCCCTGGGAGTGAACCCCAGATCCATCAAAACGAACAAGGAATAAATACATGTTGACTAAGTGTGATTTGTCAAGGATTATGGTATTGTAATGTGAATCCATGTTATTCACAATGTGAATAGATTAGAGGTTTTTTAATATTTATTTAGTGGTGCTACAGATTGAATCTGGGGTCTTGAGCATGCTAGGCAAGTATTCTACCACTGGTTACAGCCCCAGTCCCTTTTCCACTTGTTTATTTTTACTATATTCATGATTTGAAGCAAGCCTCACAGCAAACTGAGTGCCTGGAATCCCAGCACTAGGGAGGCTGAGAAAGTAATGAATTTAAGTTGAAGCCTGGAAATGCATGGTGAAATCCTATCTAAAAACAAAAGCAAAAGGCAGGGAATAGGGTCCAAAAGTGATATTTTACAGAGGCACTGATGTGATGAATTAGTAGAAAAAGTCAAATAGTAATGGAAAAACTGAGGGATGGAGAATTAATTTTGACTCCCACCTCACATAAATACACAGCAGTTAACTTGAGATGGATTCTAGACCTAAACATAAAACTAGGAAACCTTCCAGCAAAAACGTAATTCAGGACATCTATCTTTATTATTTTTTTATTTTGCTTTAGGTTAGGTTTATTTTTTGTTTGACTGACAGTATCAACCAAGTGTGTCTTCCTGTATGGGTGGGTTACAGAGCTATTTCAAAATTTGCCAAATAAATGGTTAACATTTTGTTTTATTTTCATATTGTAGCTATATGAACACTGTACAGATACCTTCTCACTCTCAAATAGTTTAATAAAACCGCCTCTAACTACCATCAGGGCTAGGTCCATGAACCCTGTCAGTTTTTGTGTGTTTTACTATCTTTCACACATTTCTATACGTATTTATAAAAATAAATAATACTAAACCAACCATAGTGGCTCATACCTATAATCCCAACATTCAGGAGGCTGAGGCAGAAGACTTGCCATGAGTTCAAAACTACCCTGGGTGGGTGTCTTCAAAAAAGAAAAGTAAAGCAAATAAAAATTAATGGTCATTTTTATTACATTTACTTATTGTGTGTGTGTGTGTGTGCATTCAGGCACACACCATAACATGCATGTGGAGGTCAGAGGACAACTTGCAGGAGTCAGTTCTCTCATTCCATCCTGTGAGTCCCAGGGATTGAACTCAGGTGGTCAAACTTGGTGGCAAGTGTCTTTACCAGCTCAACCATCTTGCCAGACCATATATTTTTTAATTTAAAGGCAGGGCCTTACTATGTAGCCCCTGCTGGCCTGGCACTCACTATGTAGGCCAGAACTGGCCTCAAAGTCACAGAGGTCCACCTGCCTATGCCTCCAAGTACACCACTATGCTGGGCTACAAACTGTATTTTGGGGCTGTATTTTTCACCCAATATGTTTCTGAAGTATTTTTCAAAAACACGTTTTATATGTCCATTCCTGATTCCTCCTCTCTCCACATCCAGAACAATGCTGACATGAACTTTTTTTGTGCAAGCCTCCTGCCATCCATGTTAACTGTCTTCCTAGGAAGTACCTAGAAGTGGTTTTGTAAGATGTGTATTTTAAGTTTTACCAGACAACTGCTTTGTTTATTTCTAGAATCAACAATATCCCTTTCTGCTCTTTGTCCAGTGCTGAGTCTTGAATCCAGGGCCTGGGACATAGTAAACAAGTTCTCTCCCACTAAGCTACACTGCCAGCCCCAAAAGTTTTTTGGTTTTTTTTTTTTTGGTCTTTTTGAGACAAGGTCTCCTTGTAGCCCCAGCTGTCCTGGAACTCACTATGTAGACCAGGCTGGCCTTGAACTCACAGAGATCTGCCTGCCTATGCCTCCCAGGTGCTGGGATTAAAGGCGTGCACCACCATGCCCGGCCCGAAAGATTTTTTATGCCTGCCACTGAAACATTGAGAGAGTAATTATTTAAAGAATGGGTGTGGCTTTCACCCTATTTCCAATCCCCTGATGATGGTGGTTAAGGGTGTTGTTTATTTTGGTTTGGGGGCTGGAAGACAATTAAGATAGTCCTGCTATGTGGCCTAGACAGGCCTTGAAAGCTTCCAGTCTTCCTGCCTCAGTCTCCTGAGTGTTGGGATTACAGGCATGTGTTACCACATCACTTGTCCCTTATAAACTTGACGATCCTGGGTAAATGACTTAATTCCTTTGCATCATTCCTCATCTGTCAATAACTACATGTCTAGCTGTCTCAGACAATCAAATGAGATGAGCCCCTGAAAGCAGCAGGCCAGTAGGGCCTACAATGGCAGCCATTGTTATGCTCAGGCCTCTGCTGAGTTTATTGCCTTCCCACCCATCATTCTCTTACATATGGAGCCTCCCTGACCATTTAGCTTAATATTATCTTTATTGTATCATGGCATCCTTTGCTGGTACTTAGGAAAAGTACTTACTCTAAAAAGGGGATCTCTGACTTTTTTTTTTTTTTTTTTTTTTAACGGTCTTTTTCAGACAGGGTCTCTAGCCCACGCTGGTTTGGCACTCACTATGTAGACCAGGCTAGCCTCAAACTCCCGGAGATCCACCTGCCTCTGCCTCCTGAGTGCTGGGACTAAAGGCATGCGCCACCTCGCCCAGCTGATGTCTGACTTTTTAGGGAATCATTGAAAACATAATTGCTGCTAATGATCTGAGTGATAGAGCAGGGAGACCACCTGAATCTGTGTGACTGTCACCAAGGATTGAAACCTTGGACCACCATCCCAGTATCGTCCACCACAACCACCCACATGCACACCATGTTCACTAAACAGGTCCCTGAGGAGGTGAGGTTGCATTAATGAGGGAAGACAGTACCACAAAAGCTGCTCAAAGAATACATGGGGAGTCATACTGGTATTTGTTGGCCTCTTCCAGGCCAGACACTTGTCTCAGTTTATGTGTATGTGTGCAGTCACATACATACATTACAAGGGGTTTGAACCTAGGACTTCACAAGCTAGATACTCTTAAGACTGAGCTCCACCCCAAGCTCCAAACTCAAGAAGCCAAAAGGTAATCCTTTCAAATAGATAGGATCTTAACAATAAATTTAAGTAACAGTAAAATGTCAAACCCAGGGCTTTTGACTTCTGAGCCTCCTTTCTTTCATAAATCTGTAGTTTTGATTATTAATCTAAAGAGACTCTGGCCCTCCCCCATCCCTTTCTGGTCTGATAACTCAGCTTGAAGGGGTTGTGATATCTGATCCTTCACTTTCATCAGCTAAGATCTGCCCCAGATGATTGCAGAAGAAAGCTTTGCAATTCTGAGTCTGAGATGAACTAGATGTTCTACCCATAGATTATTTGGATGACCATTTTAATAAAAGCTCAATCACTTGCCTTCTTTGTGTACCTTGGCAGATTACTTAACCTCTTCACTTGTTTAGTGACAGGTATGATTATCAAGATAGATAAGATGACCCTTCATCTTTATTTACATCTTAAATACATGAGAAAGCACTCAACCAACATAGTATGGAAGTAAATGCTAGGGGAAATTACAGTCAGTCATTAACAGCAATTGTTCTGGAATGTTTGTCTTGCAAGTATAATGGAGAGAGGGCATTTGCCACTAAGCAAGACACCTGAATTTAGTCCCCAGGACCCACGTGGTGGAAGAAGAAAATTCCACAATTTATCCTCTGACCTTGGCATGCACACATACTGGATGGAGTACACTCACCCACAATTAAATAAATAAATAAATAAATAAATAAATGTAAAAAAACTTCAGTGGAGAGCTTGCCTAGCATTTGTGAGATCCTGGGTTCAGTCTCCAGCATTGCAGAAGAAGGAAGTGTACTAAACATTTACAGTGGGCATATCTCAAAGCTGATGGCAGATTTAGCATCAAGAAAGATAGCATTGAGCCGGGCATGGAGGCACAGGCCTTTAATCCCAGCAACTCTGGAGGCAGAGGCGAGATCTCTGTGAGTTCCAGGCCAGCTGGGGCTACCACGAAGACCCTGTCTCAAAAAGACCAAAAAAAAGGGACAGAAAAAGAGAAAGAAAGATAACATTGGGCCACGAGATAGCTCAGCTGATAAAGGTGCTTGCCATGCAAGCTCAATAACCTGAATTCAATCCCTAAAACCTACATAAAGGTGGAAGGAGAGAACCAACTCCACAAAGTTGTCCTCTGACCTCTACACGTACATCATGGCATACACTTACATACACATGCTATAATAAATACTTTTTTGTTTTGTTTAGATAAGGTCCCCCTGTAGCCCCAACTGGCCTGGAACTCACTATGTAGACTAGGCTGGCCTCTATATCAGAGATCCCTCTGCCTCTGCTTCCTAAGTGCTGGGATTAAAAGTTTGGGCCACCACGCCTTTTTTTTTTTTTTTTTTTTTTTTTTTTTTTTTTTTTAAAATGGTGGGGCATTTTGAAAGCTGGTCTGGGAGAAGGTGAGATTGCCTGACCAGGTGCAGGGCACAGTGCTTCTGTTGTGAACAACACAGACTTTCTTACACTGAGGAAGATTATATTCTCCACAGCAAAAAAGTGAAATGAATAAGAAAAAGTATCACACAGCATAAGTACTGTGAAGAAGATGGTAGTGTGGCTTGATGGAGGTTGGCTGGCTGACTGAGTTCTGGGGGAGCATTCCTGAGGAGACCAGGCCTGAGATAAGAAGGAGCCTACCCATAGCCATAGGGAGAATAGAAATAGGAACCTAGCTCTTACAGAGGAAAGTGAGCTCTTGTAGAGGAAAGCACCACTGATTGAGGGAAGCCTGTCTAGCTAGAAAGAGCCGACGGGGGGGGGGGGGGG